TTCCTCGTACTCCCCAAGTGAGCCTCTATCACCCCTTAAAAGGAATGACGCCAATTCTGAATCACCCCATATTTGGGAATTGTAGGATGCATGCAGCATTTGCGTCCTGAACCCTGCGAGTTTCTTGTCCCAAATTTCAATCTTTGATTGAAAAATATGCACTCCATCTTCCAACTCGCGCAGTAATTTGAGACTTTCGTCAGCAGCACCTGATGTAGGTGGCTGGAATTCGTCGGAAACGTCGACCCAGTTTACCGATTGAATTTTAATCAGTTGTGTTCAAAGCTCCTGAGAAGGTGAGCTGTTTAGCAAACGTACTTCGAAATTTATTTCCATTAGATTGAATAATTCAGCCCCACGACAGTGACATGGGACATGGTAATGGGCCAAAGACCGATCCGAGCCCAACAAACAGCCCACTTGGAAATGGATTTTTAAACCATCAGTTATTATTGTGAATAATTCATGCGGTAAATGGTCGTTCGTGACTGAGCTTTTCTGGAAATCACCTGAACTCGTTCCATGTCCGTCTAAATGCGCTTCAAGACTTACCATTTATAAGTGAAATCTATTAGGAAACTATTCATTTTTCCAGGGTGTGGAGCCCAAAGGCGTCAAGGAGGAGACTGTGGACAAAGACAATGGTGGATTCGTGGAAACTCCCCGAATCAAAACCCCAAAAGGTGAGGATTAATCGTGTAAACAGAATTCCGACCAGATCCATCCCGCTTTTGTAAAAGTGTGCTTTGGCAGGAAATTTGCTATCTTGAGCAGGCAAACCGATGGCCGTTTTCCCACCGGTCTTTGTATTTAGAGCGTTCTGGATAAACATTGTTGATCGGCCTTAATAACAGGGTGGGAACTACCGCAAGCGCTCCCTGTTTTCCACGATTTTATCTCCTCCATTAACGCGACAAGGTCGGGGGAGGCAGCATTTACAAACAGTTGCTATCGATGTTAACCACAGTGGAATTCTTGAATAAGTAAAATAAGGGCACGATATTTGGAAAAAAATACATTTACGATTTCATCGCTGATTTTCCAAGGTTTCTACTTACTCTTTGGGGTCTTTTTCGTTCTTTAAAATGTGTACTTATCAATAAAATCTTCTGTTGTCCAAAATTTATGGTTTTCATTCTTTCCGAAGCTCCAAAATTGCTATAAAACCTATTGACTACTAAACTAGTGTTCACGTATTTACACCTTTGCTGCATTTCCGCACATAAAATTCGACGGATTCTTAAAATTTGACATGTTTCCTCCCAGATTTTTGAAGGTTAGAAACATATGCTAAAACCTAGTAAGGAAAAAGGCAGTTTTCAAGACGATACATAGATAAATAGACGCTTTTGATCTTTAACGGTCCCATGAAAGCTTAACATTTGCTCTTATAATTTTTTCAACGGTTAGGAGTATGCGAAGACACATTTCAAACGATTTTGGCTCCTATCTATTTAGAGGTTAGAAAGCCTAGTGCGACATTCAATTTTATAGTAAAAAAATGATGCAGTCATAGTCCTTTTTAATAGAAAAAAATTTTTGAGAATTTTTGAAAAAAATAAAGCTATGTATTTTACGACTGTACAATTAAACTGCCCAGGTACCTTTCACATGTTCCTGATGATTCTTTTAGTGTAGGCACTTGAAAATGCAAATTACATCAAAATAATAGTTTTCGATACGAGGGAGAAAAGTGTCGTTTTTCGAACGACGGCGGCGTTTGACACTTGAGACGAAGTCGAGGTTGTCAATCAGACAGGAGTTCGAAAAACGACACTTTTCGCCCTCGAATCGAACAATATTTTTATTCGAATAAAGGACATAACACGAATCGTAAGTTATAATAAAGAAAAATAGCCAAAAATAACAGCCCTCAACCACAGATCACAGAGTACCTTTGTGCCGTCAACTTCATATTTAAAAATTGACGTCAATGCCATTTTTGAAATTGTCATGTTTTGACGTTTTTAATTTTGCCAAAGTGCACTTTGTAAGCATATAGAAGTGAAACAATGAGTGTTGAAAATCCAAGTGCTGCCTTCACGGTATGGTGTTTGTATAAGAGGTATATATTGCATAAAATTTTCGATCTTTAAAAAATCGTGTTTTGCTTGTGGCAACATCGGCGAGCGCAAAAAATTTGAGCGACTTCGAGACTGGACTTGTAACAAAGTTATAATTTACAAATTGTAAGTAAACTTTAAATTATCTTCAATAGTTCCTACGTAATTCATTAAAAAAGCCTGTCGTTTACTTTTTAACGAAAATACTAAAATATTTTATGACAGTGTCACGTAATAGTCCGTGCGCAAAAGTAAAACAGCAAAGCAAAGTGCTTCTTTTTGATGATCGCTTCTGATCGAAAAATGGCACTTTTCGATTCATTCGAATAAAAAAAAGGTGAAAACCACATCGATCAGTAACGTGCTACTCAAAAGTGGTCAGCTTATTTGAAATGGAAAACGGAAGAATACAGGCGGCAGTGTCGATGGCAATTTCCATAAATGAATATAAAATTGAAATAAACAAGGCGTGTTTATCTTTCGGCTGTGGGAGCGCTGGGAATGGTCCAGTTGCGTATTCCAGACCGTGCCAAGTGGCCCAAGCTGCGGATTCAGCTGCCAGCACGTTCACTTGTTTAACGGCTAATACCTTGAATGGCTGCTCGCAATTTCTAATTGAAGCTGAGCTGAATAAGCAGCTGCAGTTTTTCTTTCAACAGCAAATCGATCGTGGATTGGACGGTTTCGGTTGGGAAAAAAGTGCGCTCGAAAGGCGGCAAGTAATGAGAGCTAATCCGGTCGTAATCCGGTTAGTTCATCGGAAGCATTGCCTCAACACAAATACCCAATGAAAGCAAGAAGAGAGTGAAAGAAAGCCCGGATAATTCGCCCTCTAACAGATGCTCGATTTCCAGTCGGAAAATATCGACTCAGGCAATGTGCCATCCATCTTTGCCTTGCCTATCATGCCAGCGCAAATATTTGTGTTGCTTTATTTCGAATAAAATGAAAACGTGCCCGTGAATAAATCGGGCCATTCGCTGCTCTATGCCGGATTAGAGCCTTTCTTTTGTAAACTCCCTGCCTCAAGATGTTGATGGCAAGTTTGCTTTAGAGGAGTGGGAGTTGTTCAATGTTTGCCTCCTCCCAGTCCAGAATCAACAATATGTGACTAGTTCCCAAGTTAACCAAAGGAAAAACGCCTGCCATTAACGTTGTCGATTATTTTCGGCAAACACGAATTATTTTATATAAAAGGGCTCCTATTTCCTGCGAACAGGTGCTCTGGAAGTACGTACACTCGCGCTATTTAATATAATTCAAATATAAAGTCGAAATTCCTTCGGGGTAAACACGTGCTTCTGACGTTTTCCATCAAGCACCAGGGCGAGTCCCAGTGGACCGCAAGCCAACTTTCCTTGGGATAAATCCGGATTTGGTCTGGATTCGATATTGGGACTTGCCACCATTTTGGGGCAAGTGCCAGAAGTAAATTTGTCCCTTTTCTGCCATTTTTGCACAATTTTGGAGATTTGGAGACAAAAACCAGCATTCTACACATCGAGTGTTTTTTTCAACTTTCCCACTGCAGCAACGCATATTTCAGTTTCCTAAATCGCATAAACTTCCTGGTAGTTTAATTATCGCCGGCATGTTCCACATCAATCTCTATCGTTCCCCACTGTACGCCATGCTGGGGTTTTGCTCCAGCTTCTGTTCCCGATTGATTCTCTTTGCCAGGGAGCTGTTTTCTCTGGAATTTAATTTCTTTCTGGAAATTACGTAAACGAAATATGTCAGTTCAGTCAAACAGCCAGTCGAATCTGCTGCCTGATTTGCAGTTTGTTGTTCCGTAATTGAGCCCGGAAGCTTTGGCACAACTTCGATTTCACGCCAAATAGAAATATGTTTGTTGTGCCGAGTTTTTTTGGGTAAATTTCAGAGACTTTTTGCACCCACTCTGTGGCCAGATACAATTCCTTCGGACTATCCATCGAGAAGGAAATGTTGGCAGTTTTCCCAAAAAGTCTTCGTTGCGGGAAGTTTTACATTTGCGTGTTTTTCTGTTGAGATGCAAAGTCGACTCAAACATGACGCTTCTGTTTTTGAAGTTTCTCAGGAACCATTTGAGCCACGGAGTTCGTCTTGGCATCGTTAGATAGAGAATAGAAAACGCGATCCAGAAATAACAACATGAGTAAGGAAATTCGAGTAGTTTTGACCCAGAAAGCGAAATTTGAATATCAGACAC